TATAAAATAAAAAATAAATAAGGAAATCTTTCCATAATGAATAACTTTCCTACATTGTCCTTACTTTTATTAAACGAATAAAAGTACACTTTCCGAAGCGGATCTGATGCAGCTATAGCACAAGCGACAACTCTGTCCTGGGTTTAAAGGTCGGCATGCATTTGGTGGTGCAACTCGCTCCACGAGCTAGTGCCCGACCCTTGTGACTGGATGACGTGTTCATGCAGCCGCTGTCAATGTGGTGCGTTTCAATTTTGCAGCCACATGACCCACACACCAMCACCACACCCACCCACACACACCACACACACGCTGTGCTGTGCCAAGGTGAGGCTGGGGCAGGCAGAAGAAGTTAAAGCTGAAAAACTGGAGTCAGGGGTCGGAGCTGGCGCCAAATGTTGACGGGTCGCGACGACCAGTTAGCCAGAATCCGCAGCGAACGTTAAATCGTTAATTGATTACGGCCAACATTGATTGTTGTTGTTGATTTTTTGTTTGCTGTGGCCCCCACCTCATGGGGTCGGGGCATTGTGTGTGTGACTGGATTACACTGCCAGCAGCCGGACTAGTCTTTTATAGCGACGACAACGACGACGACGACGATGATGACGACGAGGAGAGTATAAAAATCCATTTCTGTTTTTACAATGCTCCGAGGTCAGCTCTAATGAGCGTACAGCTCAAAACGAGTCGCTCGAACTAGAGATGGAGGTGGAGATGGAGCAGAACGAAGCCAAGGAGCGATGTGGAGGTAGAGAGCATGCACATCAACATGGACAGCCAACAAGGCAGCCATTTTAAAACTAATTGCTAAGCAAAGGGCATGCGAGCCCGTGTTGAACCCAGATCACGTACGCATCAACAACAAACGCACCACCGCAAATACAGACAATCTGGCTAAAATAAGTAAAGTATAACCAACAGGCATAAGAACTTTTGAGCGGGAGCAAACATGCCAAAGGCCAGCAGCAGCAGCAGCAGCAGCAGCAAAAGCAGAGCCAGCAGCAGCAGCAATGCCAGCAAAAAAAACCCACTCAACGCTCAGCCATTGAAATCAGAGTGGGAGCGGGAGAGAGAAAGAGTGAGTGCTCCAAATAGAATACGAAGTGGATGCCCAGCCCCGGTGGCTCTGTAACTGATATTACAGTTAAGGCGGTAACAAGTCAGCAGCACCCAGAAAAACGACGCATCATGCGCGGCCACTCAAAAATGTTTACAACAAAAGCCGAAAGGGCTGCCAGCAGCTGAATTGAATTCGGCCAAAGCCAAATACGTAGATGCGCCGGCTGCGCTCAAGCATGAGTTGAAATACTATTTAGTCAAGTGCACAGCCCAACGAATGCGTGTATACTCTATTAGAGCATTTCGATAATTCAATCAGACATGAAAGGATCACAGAAAAAATATATATTAGGCAGATAATTTAACTTTCTACCAGAGACCAATTAATAATAAAAAAATAAAATATTGAAAAATAAAACAATAGGTAAATGTAAAACAAATAAAAGTAATTTTACTAATTTTTAAATATATATATT